TTCCCAGTGATCAAACCTGACTGGAAGACAGCAGGCCAAGGAGTTTGGGCAGTGTGGTCCCCTGTAATATTGACCAAAGCAGAGGAAAAGCCTAGATGAATTTTAGAGAAAGCCGGAAGTCAACTGGCATATCCAATAATGCTTAGGGCCAGGAGATTTCTTTGGTATAAAAACCTAAATTCACATACAATCAGAGCTATTTTTCTGATTTTGAGTCATAGGTACTTTCTACGTTAATTCCAGTATCTGGAAATATTATATTTAATGTCATACAGTAGTAGATTAATAAGTTTAAAACTTTGTAATTAATGTATTTTCAAGCTATTTCCATTTTACTAGCAACAATTAGCTTATCTTCCCTTTGACTGCAATTAATTGCTCCTATTTATGCACACACATGCCAGTGAGCAATGGAGACCACTCCTTTCCAGGTTGGTTTTAGTGGTATGATTGACCAATAAAATATGCAGAACTAACATTCTAGGACTCTCGTGATCTTCCTACAGACTCTAACTAGGTATTTTGGAATACTTACCTTGTAACTCTCATTCCTGGAAAACTCATTCTCTCATTCACTTCTTGACAATTATCAGCAGTATCTGAAATTTGATTGCACTCAGAAACAAAAATACAACCATCTAATAAGCCCTCCTGAAATTCATGACCAACAAAATTGTGAGCAAAATTGAATGCTTTAGGTTACTAAGATTTGAGGTAATTTCTTATACAGCAATAAATAATAAAAAAACATTTAGCTACCAACATGTTGTGTATTTATGTAACAGAAATCTAAAATGTGGCCTTAGCTTTGAAATTCGATAGTGTATGGAAGATAGAAAGGCAGGAAACTATTGAAGTCTTAGTACATGTTGAAGTTGGTGAGCAATCCAAGGACAGTTTAAAAACATATTAACATGTTGCAGAAAGTGAAACCATTATTATGAAGTGGCAAATTGTTTGGCATCACTGCTGCCTTTGGTAATGTGGGAAATTGAAATCATGCCTACTGTGAAACTACTAGAACATTCTAGGTCATTGGTTCAAGCAAGAATTTTACTGGTGAAAGTAAAACTAATTTTTATTCTCAGCAAGTTTCTTAAAGGGATTAAAGCAATCAAATTTTATCTGAGATCAAAATTAAGCAAGGCTTTTGATGATAAATCCCTTTGTTAAAGTCTCAGAAAAACTTAAGTTGACATCCCTTAGATATTTTTTTTTTTTTGAGATGGAGTCTTGCTCTGTCACCCAGGCTGGAGTACAATGACATGATCTCCACTCACCACAACCTCCACCTCCTGGGTCCAAGTGAATCTCCAGCTCCCAGGTAGCTGGGATTACAGGTGCGCCCCACCTTACCAGGCTAATTTTTTGTGTTCTTAGTAGAAGCGGGGTTTCACCATGTTGGCCAGGTTTGTCTTGAACTCCTGACCTAGTGATGATCCATTTGCCTAGGCTTCCCAAAGTGTTGGGATTACAGGTGTGAACCACCGCGTCCGGCCGAGACTCTTTAATCAATACAAAGGCCTTCTAGGTATTTTATGTAAATGCATCATAAAAACTTTCAAACAATAAGGCTACTAAGAATTTTAAACTGGTCATTTCATAACAGCCTCACAAGATCAAATACAGAGAAAGGTTTATGACAAAGAAATTTATTAGTGTGGCCTTTGTTTAATGTATTGTGTTTTTATTTGATACATCAGATATTCGAAAGAATTATATTAGCTCAGGTTGAAAGTGATCAAGATAACATATATGTTCGTTGGTTCCCAATCAACTAACACAATACATTAAACAAAGACACACTAATAAATCTCTTTGTCATATAGGCAAGAAACAGGCTGATAAAGGTACTCAGATGTAAAATGGACTATTTAGATTATATGCCAAAGGGCACAACAAAAAGTCAGAAACCACACTTCTTCTTAACCTGTGGGTTTATGATTTTTTTAAATCACCACCAACAAAAGTAAACAAACAAAAAACTATAGGCAGAAATGGTTTCACAGGTGAATTGAACCAATTCTTGAAAGAAAGCAATACTCTTTCCAGAAAACAGTGATGGGGAGTTCCTGTCAACTCATTGTAAGAGGAAACATAATTCTGATGCCAAGTTCAAACAAGAAAATCACAAAACAATATTCTTCATGAATATAGATATAAAAATCCTCAACAAAATATTAGCCTATGATATATAGCTATCTAGTTTAAAAAGTGTTAGAAGAGTCACTTTGGGCCCTTATGTTTTCAAGTTATCTATTTCATATAAAATATGTTAATTATAAAATTATTAAATTGTTCAAAGGTTTTATTCTGGTAGACTTAGTAAAATACAGAAATATCTTTACCATATTTCCGGTGCTTGCTTTCAAATCTTTAATTTTTTTTCCTCCTAGAAAGGCGCTTCATTGAGAACATTTACCATTCCAAACCAATGAGATGGCCATTATTCTTATTCATTCCTTTCTTTATTATTTTCTGTGTACTGATTGCTATAATGGTGAAAGTTTATTTCCAAAGGAAAAAATGGAGAGCTGAGGACTATTCAAGCGATGAGTACGTTTATTTCATATTTAAGATTTGTTATTTGTATAATTTATAAACATAGTCAATAAATAGCATTGTGGTAGATGTAATAATAGTTCTAATTCAATTATTGTCTTTGTATGGGAATTTAATAACTACTATATTAATAACTAATGGTGGGGGTGGTGGCTCACACTGAGGCCCCACCAGTTTCTGACTCCGAAGCAAGTGGATCACTTAAAATCAGGAGTTCAAGATCAGGGCAACATGGTGAAACCCCGCCTCTACAAAAAAAAATACAAAAATTAGCCAGGCATAGTGGCATGCACCTATAGTCCCAGCTACTCAAGAGGCTAAGGTGGGAGGATCACTTGAGCCTGAAAGGTGGAGGCTGCAGTGAGCCGAGATTGTGCCACTGCACTCCAGCCCAGGCAGCAGAGTGAGACTGAGACTCAAAAAAGAAAAAAATTATATATATATAAAATATATATATACACACACATACACATACATATATACACATATAATTGCTGACCTTCAAAAAAATCTGTTCGTATATGTGTGTATTTATATATATACAATGTGTGTGTATATGTATATATAAATATATATGTGATGTATGATGTATATTAAAAAAAAGCCGAATTTTTATCCTGGGTTTTCCTATTACCTTACATTAAAATAGCATAAAAATTCCTTAAGATACAGAAATATTACAAAGTTAAGTTATTTAAGTATTATTAAGTTAGAAATCCATATTTAACAATTAAGATCAAATAATGAAAGAAGGTAGATAAACTTTAAAGATAAACTTTAATGGATAGCTAAACTTTGTCTAATTTTGCCCCTAAAAAAGTCCAGATTCTTATAAGATTAAAATTGCCAACCTTCAAAAAATCTGTTGGTGTATGCAATCATATATATATATACACACACATCATGTAGACTGTATATATAGATATGATGTATGTATATAATAGATACAATGTATCTGTATATATAGGTACCTATATATAAGATGTGTATATATATATATGGTGTATCTGTATATATATATGATTTATATGTATACACACACACGATGTGTATATACTATATATGATGTATCTATATAATAGACATGTAGATATAATAGATATATCGATATATAATATATATCATTATATATGCACACACATATATGAACAGAGTTTTTTGAAGGCTGGCAATTTTAAACTTATAAGAATCTGGATTTTTTTAGGGGCAAAAGTAGATAAAGTTTAGCAATCCATTAAAGTTTACCTTCTTTCATTTTTTGATCTTAATTGTTAAATACGGATTTTTAACTTAATAATACTTAAATAACTTTGTAATATTTCTGTATCTTAAGGAATTTTTATGCTATTTTAATGAAAGGTAATAAAAAAAAAACCCAGGAAAGTAATTTAGCTTTTTTTTTGTAGTAACATAAATTGAAACACAAGCAGTTAAAAGGAGAAAAAGACTAAAAATTAATACATAATAAAAAACTTAAATATCTAGATGATAACCATGTCTAGTCTACAGAAAACATAAAACAAATAATTTTTATTAAAAATAAAACTATCTGCTATAAAAATACAAGTAAATATTAAAACCGATTTAATTTTTTCAAGGAAATTGCTGTAAAATGATTTTTGCCTAAGAGTTACATAACTGTGTCTTTCATTTTACTTGAAATGAATTGAATTTCATTAAAATACTTAATAAGACGATGTAAATGAAAAGAGAATATATTTCAAAAGTTGATGTGAAATTGCTGAAATAATGTACAGCACCTAAACTAATTAGTAAATACTTAAATTTACTAAAGTGGTTTTCTCATAATGGATAACTATTGCAGAAAAACTGATATCAAATATCCTTAGGGAAAAAACATAACTAGTAATACGAATAGAAAGTAATAGGTTGAAAATGAATGGCAAAAACGTTTAAAGGTATTTAACCAATAATATTATGAATACAAAAATGATCTAAGTTTATTTTCAGATAGACATATATCACTGCATTTTTTCATATTTAGTGATGCAGAGATGTGCATTATTAGTCTTGATTACCAGGGCAGAGATATTCTCAGTGATAGGGTATTCTCAAATAAGGGGTGGACCCAGATCTCAGGTAAAAATTCAGAACTGTTTCAAGACTAATAAATAATACAGAGGTTTGTAAAACCATCTTGAGGAAAATTTAACATCATTTTAATTTTTAATATGCAGGCAACTTGAAAGTGAGAGTGAACCTAAAGGGTAGTCTGGACAACAGAGATGCCATGATATCACTGTGAGTTTCTTTCTTTCTTTTTTTGTTATACTTTAAGTACTGGGATACAAGTGCAGAGTGTGCAGTTTTGTTATGTAGGTATACATGTGCCATGGTAGTTTGCTGCACCTATCAACTCATCATCTAGGTTTTAAGCCCTGCATGCATAAGGTATTGATCCTAATGCTCTTCCTCACCTTGCCCCTCATCCCCCGACAGGTTCTAGTGTGTGATGTTCCCCTCTCTGTGTCCATGTGTTCTCATTGTTCAACTCCCACTTATGAGTGAGAACATGTGGTGTTTGGTTTTCTGTTCCTGTGTTAGTTTGCTGAAAATGATGGCTTCCAGCTTCATCCATGTCCCTGCAAAGGACATGAATGAGTTTCAAATATTTTAAGGATGAGTGAGAAAGAGAGACAATGTAATATATTAGATAAATATAACTAAAACAAATATATATTAAGTAGTGACAGTCATATAGCTGTATATAATAAAAATAACAGATAATATTTTTAAGAATTGTAATATTTTCCAGAATTTATAATAGACATGATCAAGTTATAAATGATATTGAAATTTTCCATTTAAAAATTTCTTGCAGTGTTATATTTTAAATTATTTTCTCTAGTTAATTTTACTTCTTTAGCATTTGTGTATTTAAAACGTTGGCTAAAAATAAATTGCATGATATAGGCCTACTTTGCAATAAGTTTACTTGCATGCTATTTGTTGAAGTAGCTATCATTTTAACTTACTTGTTGATAAAGCTGACTTTTTTTCATTTATTCAGTCTTCTAGAGTAATTATCTGCGATGGATAAACAACCAAAAAAAATGGAAGAAAAGAGAATATACATTACCTGATTTCCTGGGACTCAAACCTGCATATTGTGATTTTAATTTGACCAGAAAATATGGTGTACATATATATATATATATATATATATATATATACACATATATGTATAATTTCACAGATAATTTACTAATCAGAAATGCACGATAATGAGTTTTACATTACAAATTTCTGTTTAAGTTCTCTCACACTATTTCTGTGGGTCTGTAGATACTAATTCTGTCAGTAGGGGCATGGTATAAGGAAATATTGTAATGTAATGAGGTGGTACCATAATTAAAAGCCGCTGTTATATTTTAAAATGCAATGATATGTTGTTATATTACATTGTGATGGTTTGTAATCAATCAAAGACAATAATCCTAAAATTTGGAGACATTCTCCCCATATGCTGCTGAAAAAAGATACATTTTCAGATATACAAACACTAAGTAAAGATGAACAAATATATACCACAGGAACTTTCTACAAAATAAAGCAAATAGATTTTAAGTATAACAGCATTAGTAGGATAAAAGAAGAGTGTATTATAATACAAAAGGTCAAGCTATTAGGAAGTTATAATAATTATACTTAAAATATTTTATGACTTTTAATATAACTTTAACCTGTAAGAAGGAAATATTGATAGAACAAAAAGAAAAGTAGAAAAATTATCAAATATACTGAAGGATTTGAGCAATATGACTGGCAAAAAATGATCTATTTGATATACACAACAACTTCAAAATATACATGTTAAGTCCATGTGAAAGATTTACTGATATATTCTATATGCTTGGGCATATAACAGGTCTAACCAATTTCTCATGACTGAAATATTTCAGATTATGTTGTCTAACTAAAGCAAATTTAAGATAAAGATATTATAAAAATATAAATTCCCCAAGTATTTGAAATAAGCAATACATTTCTAAACAATTTATGGATCAAAGAAGAACATTCAGTGGAAAATTGAATATACTTTGAATTGTATACTATGAAAGTATTACAGAAAAAAAATGACTGACGTAGCTAGGCCTTGCTCAGTGGGAATCTGAGGCCACTTGAAGATGTTAAAGGAAAATTGAAAATGAGCCTATAACTATTGTTAAATTAATTGAATGAAAGAAAAAATATAGAAAACGGAAAAATTTAATGAAAATTAAAGAAAATGCTAATATTAAGAATAAACAAAGTTGCAGTTATTTCTTTAAGGAAACCAATAAACCTTTTAGAATATGCTAATACTAGAGAACAATTTTGAAGATACATATTAACAATATCAGAAGTGAAAAGGCACACACTCATAGTCACTAGTAATAGTGAGAAATTTAAACATTTAAATGAAATGGAAGTATTTCTATAAAAAAGACACTTTCCAAAACTGACCTAGGAAGAATTTAAATATCTGCATGTAACTGTAGTTTAAAGCAACTGTAATCAAAATTTAAAAGTGTTTTATAAAGAAAATTTAGGTTTTGATGGCTTCCTCTTTGCAAACAAGTAAACACTTAGGAAGATATAACTTCAGTCCTACACATGCTGATTCCTTTCATGAGGTCAGCAAAAATTAATAACAAAACATGGCTAGGATTATTAAGCCTGAAAAAAGAAGGAAATCTTGTCATATGTAGTAAAATGGTTGAAATTTAAGGACATTATGCTAAATGAAACAAGCCAGTCACAAAAAGGCAACTATTGCATGATTCTGCTTATATAAGGTATCTAAAATACTCAAACTATTTGATTAAATTTGACTGGAATCCCTAATTTATAAGCATATACACACATAAGACACAGGCATTTTTAGGTACTAGAAATAGATTTGAAGTTTTTTAATTTGATGAAAGGTATCAACAAAACATGAATAATGAAAATAATTAATATCGAATTATTTAGTCTTTCCTCCTAATATTGTGAAGAAGTTAAGAAAATTCACTATTAACATTTTTATATATCTTTGTGGAAATTCTAGTCAGTAAATATGACTATAAAAAATATAAAATATAAACTTTAAAAAGGAATCTTTATCCAAAGAAAACCTTATTATAATATAAACACAGAAAATCCAAAATAATCTATAGATAAAATATTTGAATTACCAAGTGAATCTGAAAAATCCATTGGGTATAAATTGAATACACAAGTATCCCATTTGTATATAAAATGAAAAAAATATAAAAACTAGAATATTTAAAAGAATATTATTTACATTAGCACTAAATATATTAAATTCTTGGAAATAACCATTCTAGAAAAACTATGACACCTGTACATACAAAATGACAAATTACTATCAGAAGAAATTTAAGAATAGTGTTAGGCTATTCTTGTTTTGTTGTAAAGAAAAACCCCAGGCTGGGTAATTTATAAGTAAATCACACTACCTAACTTCAAAATGGGCAAACATCATGGTGCTGGCATACAAGCAGACACATTGACCAATGGAACAGAATGGAGAGCCAAGAAATAAATCTATGCATTTACCGCCAACTGATTTTCAACAAAGGCACCAAGAATACATATGAGGAAAAGGTTTCTTCAACAAATGATGTTGACAAAACTGGTTACCTATATGCAGAAGAATGAAATTAGATCCTTATATCTCACCATATACATACCTTATCTTAAAATGAATTAAAGACTTAAATATAAGACCTGCTATTGTAAAAGTGTAGAAAAAACATAGGGGAAAAGCTCCATACGTTAATCTGTGTAATGATTTTTTGAAAAATGACCTCAAAAATACAACAAATGCAAAAACAGGCAAATAGAATTGTACCATACTAAAAAGCTTCTGTACAGCAAATGAGACTCAGAGTAAAGTAACAGCTCACAGAAAAGGATAAAAGACTTGCAAACCATACATCTGATAAGGGGTTAATATTCAAAATATTAACAAACTCAAACAGCAAGAAAACAAATAGACTGATTAAAAAATGGATATAATAGGCCGGGCGCGGTGGCTCACGCCTGTAATCCCAGCACTTTGGGAGGCCGAGGTGGGTGGATCACGAGGTCAAAAGATTGAGACCATCCTGGTCAACACGGTGAAACCCCGTCTCTGCTAAAAATACAAAACATTAGCTGGGCATGGTGGCGTGTGCCTGTAATCCCAGCTACTCAGGAGG